AAGCTGGAAGTGTATGCTAACAACATCGGACATCGAGAATTTTCACAGTTCTCAATTGGTTGTTTCTGCCAGTTATTTACAGCAACTCCGAAAAAAATAAAGCCAGGTTTCATGATCTGATTGTTATGGATTTTAGAGCTATTTGATCTACAGCCCTGCAGCGTCGAAGTTACAATTTTGGAAAGTCCCATAGCGCTTCAAAGCGACACACTAGCAAGATCCAAATTCACGCAATATAAAGGATATTTTTTCATCTAGGCTTATGCTCCTGACCGTTATCCCAGACTGTGGGAAACAGCTGAAACATATTTCCTTGTTTTCCATCCACATACGTAGTGGAGTGGGAAAACAGCAATGTAGTTTATCTAACAAGAATTAGAAACAGATAGGACTTCACAGCAGGAGGAGCTCGTCGGCGGTTGTTGTCAAGTCTGGAGCAGGACATAAGCAAGCTTGCTCACAGACATCAAGCTCAAGACTCGCGTTAATATATTGTTACGAAGGGTGACCGGCAAAAACCGTACATACTATTGCGTACTGCAAAAAGCGTACACGGAAAAATGCGCACAAAGCAAATTTCGCTCTCGGGGAATACACCAGTTTGATTGATTTGCACCTAAACGACTGCCCAACATGCCAAATCCCCCATGACTCATTCGGAATACTCAACAGACGGAACGCTGTTGTCCTACTGCAGTTTGCCGAAGTCTCAGTGATTCGGTGACTCTAACGCACTTGATGTGATCAGACCGAGTTCGTGGCTAGCCTAACCTTGGCTCCTTGAGGTTGGTGACCGCTTCAGATGACCGTTAGCCACTTTATCACACTGGTACTGCGCATAAACGGATGCCCACATAGTGGATTTCCCACTCAGAAAATCTCTTGGACGGAAAACTTAGCAGTCTGCAGATGTATCCGGTTTGTTTCAGTATAATGTTTGCAATTGGAATGGAACTTAATTTTTCCTTTGCACACTTAGACGACCGATGAGAAATGTTAACTATCAGTCCAAGACGTTTTAGTAAACCGAAAAACCTCCACGATCGGATCCTTCGCACATTTGCGACATTCGCTGTCATTACTGAATACTGAATACTGTATTATAGAGCAAGTAGAAATAGATTCTGTACAACTCTTTCGAAATAGGGCGAAAAACGTTATAAAAGTTGCCAACGTTGAATATCATTGTCGTTCTCATGTAATATTTAAAATATTCGACTTACGATATTTCAGGATTCACAAATGTGACATGTCATCGTAAGTGTGCAGTCGTTCTCTGAATCGAATAGAGGCAAAATGCAAATCTAACAACGTTTTGAACTGTTGCACAGATGTTGCCTCAATCACATGTTCGGGCAAACTATTCCAAATGTTTACCACTCTCCGTTCGAAGCACAGTGGGTGGGGAACACGTTTCATATCCGGCACAACAAGTTTGTATCTGTGTCCGCGTGTGCTGCATGGCCCTCGTAAGTGCAGCATTGGCTTTAACATGGGGAACTCACCGAGATGTAGAATTCGGTAGGTCATAATGAGGTCGACTCGCACCCGACGGTAGCACAAGGTGTAGAGTCCTAGTTTCTCGCACCGGTCTTCATACCCAAAGCCACGTAAACTCGGGATGAGCCTAGTAGCAACGTGTTGGACCCGTTCGATCTTTTGTGCCTCGCCTCGGGTAATCGGAAAGTAGGCGGGCGAACCAGCACGGTTCACCGGCATCGCTATCTGGGCGACACCTGTATGCGCACAATAAAAGCATGCCCCTTCATGATTCCGTTCCTCTGGACTGGTTTGGGCCTGTCGCAATAAAATGTTCCCGAACTCAGTCTGGTCACACGAAATCTGTTAGAGCAACCGAATCGCTGAGATTTCGGTAAACTGCAATAGGTGAGCAGTGTTCTGTCTGTTGAGTAGTCTGAATGAGCCATGGGAGATTTGGCGTGTTGGGCAATCGTTTATGTGCAAGGCAAACGAACTGGTGTATTCCCGTGTGCGCCACTCTCCGAGGGTGAACTTTTCGTTGTACGCAATTTTCCGCTGCACGTTACGACTTTTTCCGTGTACGCTTTTTGTTGTACAGTTTTCGTGTACGCTTTTTTCGTATAAGTCTTCATCATAGAACCGCTACGAAGTTACTACCCTTCCTAATTCATGACATGCCTTACAGTTAAAAGCCGTAATTAAATAAGCTTTTATCTGTTGATAGTGACTTTTGTGTAATCACGGACAGGTGGCTTGATGTTGTCGCGCATTAAATTTGAAAGTTAAAATGTGTCTTCAAAGTTGGATTTGGAGTACCTGCTGTGTAGTTGGATTGCGACACACAATCTATTCAGACCTCGGTCATTACGATCACAAGGACCGTTTATAAGGGAAAGTGCAGTAATACCGATATTAAAATTTTCTTAATCATAACAACAGATATCAATATGAGCACTAGAAATCACAGATTTACGTCTTTAGGCGTTTCGGCTTGCTGAAATTGCGGTGATCAAGAATGCTGGCCATAAGAAATGTAAGGTTCATAAGCGGGCCCACGGCGGAATAAATGTTCAGAATGTCTGCATCAAAGAACCATGTTAATTACTCACACGTTGGAGTGTTGGCCTTATGTGACCGCTTGAATCAAGCAGCTGGACATTCTGATACACACTTATGGATTTAGGACTGCTAACTCTCGTTTTCTAGGCCTTTTTTGGTTTTTGCCGGAATGGTTAATCCAGTTCCACTTTATGCACTCGTGTTCAGCTGCGCGTTTTCTTTTTTCTTTCTCCACTCATTGACCTTTGTTTTATTTCGTTATTTTGACACTATGTTTGGCCTTCCTTTAGAATTTACTTTGCATATGTGCGATCTGATCATCTCATGCATCTGCGTTGTTGCTCTCCCGTGTGCATCGCTGATCGTTAGAACATTGAACAATGATTTATGATGGGCAAAATGCCGTTTGCTTGACAAGTCCCGTAGAATGACTAAATTGCGGATTATAAAACCAAAGGTAAACACTAACATGCAAATAGAAGGAAATTCAAATTCTAAGCGACTCATAGACATTGATGTAGATTTCCCCACCACTATGTGACGGAAAGGGCTGATGGGCGCGTAGTTTGGTTTATTTGCTCCTCTGAGTGATACGTACTATTCCATATAATCCAAATGCTATAGTGTGTCGTCTCCGCATTTTTCGAATGGTGTTAATGCTGGGGCCAAAATGGCGTCTGTGGGAAGGGTGTCCCATGTTCTGGATAACGGAAAGGAGAAAACGTTTTGTCGACAATCAAGACTGTAGTGCGTAACTTGTTTAAACTGGTGGCCTCACAGGTTTGTTTCGTGACTGGATTGCAGCAGGTCGCGACAGACATGCTACCTCTGCCGGTCCGTGGCCGAATGAATCACAACTTGCCTTGTAATCCGAGGGGACTGGGCGACACTTGCAGTATCCTTATCTCACACGCGACTGATGGTGTTTGCGTGGCAGCGAAGCGTTAGTACTGCGTACCGGCGTGCTTCTGATACCTTTTTACTACCCTTTCCCTTATTCGTCTTACTCTCTGAATCACCGAAGATGCCTAATGGTGTTGGCCAACATTGACTACGAGAATACGGGAGCACAAGCGTACCAGTAAAAATCATTATGCGTCATCTTTGGTTTCGATGCACGTTGATGAAGAAGGACATGGCTTTGATTTGACGAGAATAGAGATTCTAACACACAGTCATACGAAAAAAGGATGCGAATTTCTGGAACCTTGGTTTTCGACAGAGAATTCAATAAACCTTGTTCCGGTATACCAACGGTTGAGGAAGAAAGAGACAAGTCGGATTATACACCGTGGCTTGAATCGACAGCTCAGCGACTGAACAACGAACAGAGCAGCCGTTAAAGCAGTGTTGGCCATTTCACCAATGCAATTTTATGGAGCCATCTTGCGTCGCATTAATTCCACGCCAGCCAATAGAGGTCGCTCGTGCATCCCAGAGTGCCCGGCGAAGCGACCAATGGGAATGAAGCGTGACCATTATTGATTGAAGTTTACATAAAGTGCGGCCCTGCAGCCGACGGCACCCGCCTTTGGATTTGCTCTTAGCTCAGTATCTACTAACAAGCTACTTGTCTTTACGCACTAAGGATGCCACGTCGACTGATGGTGAAACGTCTGCAATCGACTTGTTCATTTCGGGGAACCAATAAAGACTACGGCATTTCCGATGTATTTATACTTAAATAGGTGTAGAGGGCTTGAAGAAATTGAGCTGGTTTGACTGGCCAGTGTGAGTGTGCCAGATGCTTGGCATCGTGACACTGTTTTACGTTGATTGGTGTGCACCCTGCTAGCTGAATTGCCAGACAGTTTGAAACACTTGTTTCAGGAACCCTGGCAGTTCAAATTTAGGGATTAAACTAGCATTCAATGAACAGCCTTTTTATTCCCATTCTTATCATTAGTGTTTTACATTGAACACTGTAGTCGTTTTGTTTACACGTGCCTTCCCCATTTTCTTTGGATTTTTCCGAGCAATTACTAAAAATTTTGTCCCTATTTAAGCATATTTTGTCGACACTTCATAATGGAGCGAAACAGGAGTTCGTGCGACCTGCACTGTTGTCCACGATGATGTAGAACTAATTTAAGGAAAGCATGCTTCAGAGCATTGCGATATCGCGCAGCATTTTTGTCCAATGATTGAATTGTCTTTTTTTCAATGCCTTCTACTTCACTCTGTTGCATGTCATGTATTGGTGAATGTAAAACTTAACTGGGCATGTAAGTTGTTTCGGATTGGTTCATGAGGTTGCCGAATTGCACTTAAGTTGGTGTACCGCCGCGATCGGTCCGAACTAAGCGGTGATTATCAATGATAGTTACTTCTATATCTACAGTATGTTTGGTGTGCTTTTTCGGCATTATCTTTTTTCACTTTTCACAATGGATCTATTGCAAAATCGTACTGTGATCAGAATTTAAGCCAAAAAGCTCTTTGTTTTCCTTCCTTACCAGATGTTCCGTTGGAGATCGTTTTCTCCTTGTTTCGGATGATACGAAAAGCGATTGGGTTTTCGTCACTTCTTTGAAGACGCGACATTCAGGCTATCTTCCCAGATGCTGCATTGAGGTAATCGTAAGATCACTTTCTATCTAGTTCATTTGCCTTTATTCTATCGTTAACTTTCGACTATCTATGTCTGTTTCTTTTTCTCTAGAAAGAATATCCAGATTTAATCGAGCGTTTGGAATTTTTTCACCCGGATGCGTCAATAACGTCAACCAAAGAACTCTTGAAAAGAGGTCAGTTTCCGTCGAAACTCGCTTCTACTGCAACTCATTGTGCACTAGTAAGCGTTGCATATGGGTTTCTGTGCTAGTTTACTGGGTATTTTTGCTTCTACACGAACTTTTTCTAGCTAGCCGTTTTCTAGCAATTGCCAACTATACTCCTTTATATTCTATGTAGTGATTGTATACAAGGAGACTGGACCTTAACGTGGTGTGATTATTTCTGTGCCGTATTGATCCATTGGGTTGTGCTTGGTGATGCTTTTTACACCTTTAGAATCACCCATAACAGCTTGTCCAGCGGTTAGAAGCCAAGCAAACTCAGTCGCCTTGCCTTCGAAGTTGATGGATGTAGTGAAGATGGCTCTTTACTCCATAAAACCCACTCTCTGTAGTCAACTGATGAACTCCTGCTTCCCTGCGGCCAGGTTTTTAAACTGATTGCTTTGGATGGGGACTGTTTTCTGGTCTAGACTCGGTTAACCTGACGGTATCCTGCCGATGCAGTAAATTAATAAGCTGCACACAATATCTTGATACTTTGACCGTCCCAGAGGATAACCTGCGGTGTTCTATCCGCTGCATCGAACAGCGTTGATAAGGGTAAGTGTGAAACTGCTCAAACTTCTGCGTTCTATTATTCCTTCTCTTGCGCGCTCTCCGTATGCGCCCCTTCCAACTTAACATTTATCACCTACGTTTTCAACCCATCAATTGTTGGCCATTCACTACCTTGTTTCAACATTCGTTTGTCCTCTGGTTCCAACCCGCACATCTTTGATTTGAATCGCATGACGTCGCTCCGATCTATTTGAAGTCTGCGTCTAACCAAACGGACAGCCTCAATCCGTCCGCTGTTCGCTAAGACTGACTTGCCTCAATGTACGCACTTTGTTGCAGATTGGTCAATAAGCAATGCTTATTCGATCGATATCATATGCATCTCGTAGACACGCCCGAGCTTTGTGCTCGTCCTGAGATCCTCTTCATTAAAAACTAGCGGCACATTCTGATTGCGCCTATCCGCAGATGACGCAGCTTCGATTTCTGGTCTATTTCTCACGTGCATTAGCTTCCGACACAGCATTTGTAGAAGAGTGACATGGCGCCAACCAGCCATGGACGCAAATCGATCCCATCGCGGCCTGTTGCCGTTGGAGGAGTTGGGTCCAGAACTGTCGTTTTATTTGGAGCACGAAAAAAGAAAACAAAGACATCAGCAGTACGCCGGTAGGTGGTACCGACGCTTCGCTGCCGCGCAACGACTACCGGTCGCATATGGGCTAGAATAATGCGAAGGTCGCCCTGCCCCTACGCAGGCTCGAACCCGTGCCGCAAATTTACAAGACATGATCATTACCTCTATGCTACGGGCCGGCATGAGTGTGGACTCTGACTACGCAGTGTATGTACTGACCTGCGGGCGCGTTTTGGCAGCCGTTTGTGAAGACCCGCTAATTGGCGAAACCGGATGTTATGAATGCTTATCAAAGTACGCTGACATCCGAGCTGAGTGTTGCGTCGCCCAACTATCCCAATCCACGTCGACCAGGGACAGGGTTCTTTTCTTCAGAACACGAAACTGTTATATATAGCAAACTAGTAGCAGTCTAGACATACCAAGGCGCTAATCACACCGGACTGAGCAGACCAATAAGAGAGCAGCCACATAAAACACCGATCAGATTCACACTTAGCGATGGGTTATTGTTAAAGTCCATCTCAAGAGGAAACCGTGGTAAGTCACCAGCAACAACATAAGAACGATGCGTTAAACCAAACGTCAAGAGATGCACGCAACAAAAATGATGGCTTGCAGTTACGAGCCGCCACACAAAGTGCATTGCACTTAAGCTGTGCCCCTCTTGTTTTTGTTTGTTTGTTTTATTTTTTGGGTCACCTAATTGTATTGCAAAGACATATCTCAGCTTTTTCTCTCGTTCTTAGATAATTTGTCGAATAAGAATGTGGTTCTCTCACAAGGTTGCTGCTGTTCCTTCCATCTAGTACCTGTCTCTTTTATCTTCCTTATCATCTATTTTCTTTGGTCGTTGTTCTTGACACTAACTTTTACTTCGCCACATAGTACTACTAGGATCTCTGCTGGAAGGCTGTTGCCTCGCGCCTTGACGTGCCTATACATCGTAACTGTCTACTGTTTTGTGGGCCCATGCGAAGCCCATTAAATTTTAACTTGTATGTCCACGCTTTCACGCTGTGTATTAGGCATGTTTGTGCGTGTGGCACCAATCAAGGTTCCAACATTGCTCTTTAGTCGACCTTATCATATGCTATCTGCTTGATCATTCTCGCCACATGATTTGTTTATTTGAACTGGAAGCGTCCACATTTCGTGCCATCTAGTAATGTGCCTTTTACACTTATTTATTCATATACTTACGTGATAGCGATAACTATAGTCCATTACATCGCAGCTGCAGCCTGACATCGAGAGATTGTTTGCGTGCCTCGGGGTCCACCAAACTACGTTAGGTGGCTTTTTCCAAGTGCCTTTATACTCATACCAGACAGATGCATCCTTGGAGATCAAACCAACTCCGTCTTACTATCCATATATGCCAGACCTCAATCGGATCCCAACAAGTCTCTCTGTGCAATCACACTCTCCATCTAACCTGACTCCCCACTGCCTTGCGAACCAGGCTATTGAGCCAAAGGCTCCGAGTAGAGTCCCGTAAGCGAACCGCTATTCACTCCACAGCCTTGTGGGTCAAATGCTAGAGGCAGGACACTACGAACAAAAAGCCTCACTCAATGTGGACTGTCACAAAGTAATCTTTTTCATCTCATCTCTGGCGACAATATTCCCCATTCTCTTTTTCTCCCTCCCCTCAACTTTCTTCTTACCCGTCTATTGCTGCCATCGATGCATGTAACTCGTCCCTCAAACCAAGGATCTCGTTTCACCTTGTTTCCTTTTAACCTCCGCACTTTAGATAAGATCTGCTAGCAGGCAGCACTAACTCTCACTCTTCATTTTCACGGCATTGATATGTGCCGTATCTCCGAAACACAGATACAAGATAACAGCGTTGTGACGAATCTTTGACTCCCTGGTTCTGAATCTGACAACGATTGTTACCCTCTTCGCGTCTCTGGCGATACCGTGTCGATAGCTCAAGGTATTTACGGTTTTGGTATTGCTCTCAGCAAACATGCTGAAATCCATCAACCCGACTGGATACAAGAAAACAGTTCGATTCAGCTACAAACTTCTACTGGAGTTACTAAACATCGTCTGAAGGGAAAGTGGTTGTTCATCGCCTCCGTTTATGCACCCACTGATTCTACTTCGCAGGGTATGAACAAGGGTTTTTATCGTCCGCTCTTGTCGCTTCTCCATATGGCGAGAATGTTTCTGGGGGCATGAATGCCCAAGCAGTTCGCGTTTTGCACGCTGGACAACAATTGGGAAGCGGCTTCGTGGTCGACGCATGCCGAACAGACAGTAGCGGTCGATTCCTGCAACTAGGTGCCGACCACATTTTCATAATAAATGCACTGCTTTGCAGCACAAGCGTTCACATCGTGTCACCCGGCGACCATAGAATGAACCATCAGCTTTCATTGAGGTTTAGGTTAGTGAACCTAGTGCGAGTGGAATCGCTTCTAATGTGTGTTGATGGATTCCTTTGAAGCACGCCGTTCGCCCACCTTGATACTTGTAACTTTGCATGAATTTCCATGGACCTCCGTCTGTTTGACCGAATCATTCAAGCTGCTTCCGTTGCTCACACAGTCTGACCGTGTCCGTCGCATCATGAAAAGAAGACTAACTGATCATTGGTCATTTCAAGGGACCAAGAAAGCTAGTCTTGTTGTGAGCAGCCGAGTACTAATCCGTTTCATCTAGCGCACGGACTTTGTGCCATTTTTCTTACTACTCTTGTATGCTGTTATTCTGGCAACTTACATTGTGGCAACTGGAGTCAGCGAATTTTGTTAGCTGGATTATAATTGTGTGACCGCACTAGACTGAAGACACATTGTATGTCAAACACCAGGGCTCCAATTACGTGCTCATACTCTGTCACAGTTGGGGCATTTTTTACCTGTTTGTCAAATGCACGGTGACTGCTTACTTTGTATACTTCGTCAAATCTCTCCGATATTTCTTCACTTGCTGAATGCTCGTCGGCAGTCTTAAGTTAGAAAGCGTCGTTCAGGAGGCTAAACAGCGGCGTTGAGAGAATCTGCCCCACACTTTTTCTCTTATATTCATTTGAATGGTAGTTCGTGCGCCGTCACACGCATTTTGTTTGCTTTGCAGTATTTGTTATGTGTTCTTCACCAGCCATCTGTGCGCTCGTTTGGGATCGGGTCGCACCTGGACTCCTGGCGTGACCCCGGTCCTCGCGGCCGCAAAGATCTTTGACCACTACGTGTCTGTGAGGATGCGCACCTGTGTCCCGTGCAAGACTCACGGCCTAGTCCTTTGGTGCCCAAACGGGCTTCCACCCCTGCAGTGGATGAATTGGCCGCACATAGGCCGTCTAGTTCGCGGTATTTTCTTCGCTTTTCCTGCTGTCGAGTTTCGCTTTGGCGACCGACTGTCAAACGAGGTATCTATGACAATTATCCTTTGGTCGGACTTAGTGGCTGTGCGGCGCTACTGAACAGGCTAACCCGTAGCTCTACACGTGAAGTAGTTGGTGTTCTTGCTTTTGTTCCGTAACTTTTGACTTTTAGCCTTCTTTTACGAGAATTTATTCAGTTTTTGTTATTACTCTGATTGCTCACTTGGCGTCTAAATTCATCACACCTCGGTACACGAATCATAGTTACTTAATTGAACGGGAATAAATGCTCCTGACAAGGCCCCATATCTATACGTCCTTCCCGTATATTCCATAACTTTCAGGTTCCAAGTTAAGGACCACATCTGCCTTCAGCCGCGTTGATAAACAGGCCGGTCTTTCTTTCAACCTTAGAGCGATGTTTAACGTTGCGTGTCTGAAATTTACAATGTCAAATCAGTTAATTGTCGAATCCCAATTTTTATCAGAAAATGTCATGAGCATTTCCACCACCAGTTCAACGACCCAGTTAGAGATAAGGCAGTCCTGTCGCACTCTGTATACCGGTGTGCACTCTGAGATCATATCTCACAAACCATTACATAACCCCCCGTAATTTGAATATAGATTTTACGGAATGCAGAAAAGACATCGTTCGCCAGCGCTATCTAATCTACGCAATTTTCTCTTTGCTGTAATCACACTGTTAGTCGATTTTTCCAGGGCTGCATTTTTGGCATATGGAAATACGGCCGATCTAAAGTAGGTGGTTCGACTTCGACAAGCCCTCAGAGCCGCTAAACACCGTTTTGGTCCACTTCAATACAACAAATGTGGTTTCTATGACAGTTATGAGCGCAAATTCGGCGATCAAGTACTGTCAGTCTGTTAATGTCTTACGAAAATGAGGATGCACATGTATGTTATCCATGCAGTAACACTGATCGCGCCTCACAGTTGCCAACCTTCCCATCGTCTACATGAGTAACGGTTACTGTAGAAGATTCCTCTTCTGCCTTCCCACCGCTCTCTGCTTCATGGTTTTGATTTCCCATGCCGTTTACCCAACTCTTTTCCATGTCCCAACCGATCTTTATTATCTGGCTCTCAATGGAGATTGTGTTCCGTGCCAAGTTAATTAAGTTTATTTGCACTTTAAACACATAGATGACCTGCATTCAACCGTGCATGCATTGACCTATATTTCCAAGTTCTGAACAGACCTAATTGTCGCTTCATGTGGCTTCGCCTCATGTTATCAGTTTGTGATGTTCCGTTTTAACTCCCTCACCGTGGCATTCGGATACTGGCGAGCAAGACATTCCTCGCATCGCATGTGACCTGATGATATTGCAAGATCATGTGAGTAGAGTTCACATACATGAAACCACCTCGTTCATGAGGACAATCGTAAATGTTACTCCATGTGCAATTGCAACACTTACAATACCATCACAGTGTGTGTGTAAAGCACTGGCCGAACGCCCACGTTTCACGGCAACCTCCCTTTCCGATTGGTCATGTGTAAGCCTGTTAAAGCCACAGTACATTGAGACGAGCTTATTCTACGTGAACTTGAAGCTCAGCTTGCTGGCTACCTTGGATTGTTGTCGTTGTTTGATACGCCTGTGCCGGAAGCACAGATGGTTGCATTATTGTACATTGTTGTTTTTAATTATTTGTAATGGTATCGTATTTCAGTTCTGGTATTGTTTTGTTGAAACCGGTGGAAACGCGTTCACTCAAGACTTCCAAGCGAATTGTCGCTTGTTACTTTGAAAACTCCCTCGCACCTTACCATTGCGCGCGATTACCTCCGCGACTGTTGCGCCGCCAAAGGCTGTTTCTGTGACCAGATGATCAAACTGGTTTATCATTTCTAATGATGCATCTGTGATAGTAGGGACTCAAGCTACATCTGCCAAGTCCCGTAACATTCTCAATTTGGGCAAACACATACCGAAACACGCAGTGCTATGCGTCATTTCGTTCGGTAGCGCTTCTACAGTAGTTGCATCCGACACCAAAGGACTCGTGTCATTTGCGTTCTCCGGGCCTGACAGTTGGTCACGCAACAGTACCTACATGAAGTGAAAGGAGTCAGGACGTTATCATTCATTATCACCGCTTACAAAGTCTAAGAGATAAAGCGGGGTGGGGTAACACTGACGAACCTCACCTATTTCTAATCCGTGGGATTGTTCCCCGTGGTCTGGAAGTTGTGAACAGTAATTTTGGCATAGGAGGAATCTACTTCACATTGTTCCAGAGATAGGCATCGCCACAGGTGCGATTAGATGAAGCAACACATCTTTTGTGTAAGAAAAGTCTACTGTGTGATAAGGCTCGAGCACGTTGCAATATGTAAGAATGTGCTCGATTCGATACTTGCTTTTCGCGCTAAAGATGTTCACAAGCGGTACTGCTACCTTCGGAGCATTACTAAGGCAAACCTATCTAAGACGACCACTCAAAGGACCGACAAAAAGCGGTCGTCTTGGACAGTTGGTTGCCATGCATAGGGACATTACTCATAGGAGAGAACTTTAGGGATGTTTTCTCTGGCCGCCTTAGACAAATGGCCGCCATGGCAGGTTGGACTTGAGTGTGTTGGAAACATCACATTAGTAATGATGACGTTAGCCGAATGATTTTCAGATCGGACAGACTATGCCGGCTACTAAGCCGCATACTATCACTGTACGAGCTACGGTGGCTTGGACACGTGCTTTGCATGCCTGCTCAGCTTTTACCACAGCATGACCTACTTGCGCGCGCAGAAGTTCGCTGGAAGCGAAAGTGATGCGTATAACGAATGACTTGGTACCAAAGTATGAAGATGCTAGTATCAAAAGTGGACCTAGTTGAGCGCTCTAGAATCCGGGCTGGGCGCGTAGGGTCCACGAGCACGCATGATTAGAAACTTTCTTGTACACGACGAAGGCTCGAATTCAGTGGTAGACAAGTCGTGAGACCGTTCTCCCATGAGTACAATTTTTCGCCTGTTTTCTTCCTTCTCTATTTTTCCTTATTGCGCTTATCCATATACGGTTGGCGGCATCCGGTTTCGGATTTGCCTGTCACTGTGGTCCGCACAGGACGCCTGCGCTTACAGAGGGACCATGGGTAGCTTGCGCTGCACCACCCACAGCTCCAACCACACACCCCATATCCAGTGTAAACCCGAAGGAATAAGACCAGGAGGCATGTGGATGGGAGCCACGTGTCATCAACACACTACTTCACAGGCAAACACAAGCACGCTGTAGTTGGGAATCCAGCGCACACAAGGCGGTGGCTGGACCTTAGTCCGATCCACACTGAGTGCATGGAACCACTCTTCGAGCCTAGCGCGACCACAAGGACCGTGCACCCCGTCCCCTCCAGCAACGACAAACTGTCTCCTGGAGCCAGTATGGACGAGGTAGTGGGTAATAGACAGGTAGGCACCTTGTCAACATGCACATCAAGCGCAGCCACACCGGGAATGTCAAACAACAGCCAATCACTTGAACTGACATTATCAAACGAAATATATCTGTTAAAGAATACGCCTATGCAGACATAACTCTGCCCTAAATTAGCATATGAAGTAAGTTGGTTAGCAACAAATCCGCGATAATGAAAAAATGTCCAGAAGTTACTCAAAATGCTACAAACGCAATAAGGTTAACGAAGATAACCACAATAAACGTAAGTAACGTGGCCAATTAATAGAAGAAAAGTCAGGTAGGCAGAACAAACCAAACAAAATGGTATGAAATTGATCCAGCTTAAAAGACCTAGTTTAAGTGTCAGTTGGTTTAGCCCAATCGCGGTGAAGAAGCATCATGAATGCAACATCAGCCTCAACAAAAGGCATATATATATATATATATATATATATATATATATATATATATATATATATATAAAACTAGAGTTGAAGGAATTCTAGCCTTAATCGATTCAATAGTCACAAAGGATCTGCGAACCACCAGTTTATGCGACTTGTGTGCAGTCGGCAATTGAGAAAGAGCCATTATCTCAGTGTTCTTCGTTGGTCTTTTAACGGTTTCGCTGATGTTCGCATTTGTATTTCACGTGCTGCGTGTACCTGTGCATTATGCTTCTAACTTGATTCTCAAGTTACGCGTGTTCCAAACAACTAAAATGGTGCATTACCTAATCACTCGTTCCTTTGTGTAGGCCCTTAACTACTCCAATTTTTTCCTTGATTATCCCTCTTTTCGTTTTTTACAATTTAAATGTCATTTTGGCGACCTTGTTTGTTGATTACATTGAGCAAAAGCATTTACGGAACTTCCATTACCCACCATTTATAAAACTAAGTTGATTAACTTGGGCGGGCATGGAGAAATTGGTTTGAATTCCAAGCCAGTCCCACTGATAGCATCTTCCGTCTTGTTAGATTGACATTCACCGCACCGTTTCTGTCCGACGAATCTTTGTCCACATTTGCTCGTAGCTACAACTGAATCAGCTCCATGCATCGCCACCTCTATAGTTAGCCCTATACCTAGAGGATGAACTGTAGTGTGTCTCTAGCCTTCGCGCATTTCTGCTGCTTCTGAATCAGTGGGTTTTCCAAGCAAAACGCTCAACAATGTTGGCTCTGTTGCAACTTTTGATATTCCACCTAATTGTCTCATATCTCTCGTATTTTCCATCTAACCTTTTTCATGACTACTTTGCTATAGCTTCCATATGTCTACTATTTCTTTTTTAGCGGGTGCCTGCAGCTACCTTTTACGTCCGAGCGATTCTCGTCCAGGCTTGTATACTCTGCTGTTGTATGACGGCACACGAGTTCGCAAATATCGCCTCGAATTGGTTGTCCAGTCGGAAGAGATTTCATGCTTAAACACACCTGTAGGCAACCAGGGAAATGACACACATCTGGCCGGTTATCAGCGTCGTTGCAGTGTGCCGATCGCTGTATCCACTACTGATTCGGGCATAAAAGGATCGGACGAAAACCTGAGCACTACCAATCCTTGTCATACATCTGAGGACGCATTGACAGTTTGTCAAACTGTTGCCGACGGAATTGCTGATTATGACCACTCCCAGCAAGACACTGTCTTCCCCATGTATTCCACTACGACTAAGGTGATGTACAACGGTGTGTCCTTTCCGAGCGTTGAGGCGGTCGTAGCTGCTATTGAAGCGTATCCTGGCTGGTGGCACCCTGAACCGACTCCTTCCCTCAGTCGGCCCAGTGAGGATGGTTCTGGTAATAGATTGATTGAGTCAACGGGGACAGATGGATCTGATTTATGTCCTTACTTGAGCGGCACATCCCAATCCGGTGAGCCAGGAGTTCCAGGTCCCCCGAATACTTCGGTTTCCTGTCAGCCGCATTTATTTAAGCCCGTTCGCAGGGAGTTGAAAGTGAGTTATTCGCATTCTGCTATTAAAACTGTGTTCTCGTGTGGCCTATAATCCTAGCGCTTCTAGCCGACCTCAGTTGTCTCGCCACAACCCTCCTCCTCAACTCCCATCCACTTTGTAGCGGTCATCCTGTACGGATAATCTTTACATCGTATCTATTGCTACTTTCTTGCATTTGCAATCACGAATTTCCCGATCCATCTCCGCTTCGTCGTCTCCTTTCTCGGACCCATTTCAGTAATCTTACTTTTCATTGTATCCACTGACGTGACTGTGTGTGATATGCTTACGTACACTTGGGAATATCTGGGAACTAACACTATGTCGCTTCCAGGTAATCTTTTGCTTTTTACTCATCTGCAGGCGCTTGGGTTTTTGTTTTAGAACCTAGGCAAGCCCTTACTTTTTATTCCTATGCATCATCGCTTTTGATAACAATCTGCATTATCATCATCATCAATACACGTTAGTCGAGGGTGAGAAACATGCCTTAGATAATGTGCAGCGATACAAACGATAAACAATTAAAAGATACAAACTACTGATGCTGTAAATGGGTAACCTAATGTTAAATATCACGTCATGCATTGCGTTCGAGATCGTTGTTGGTAGAGGAAGCTAAACGGGAGTGGAGGGACAAAGAGACACAACACAAATGCTACTGAGCTCGGCTCTTAGCCATGTCAACAAGTGTATCTAATCAAACGTGTTCATCGTCCTTCGTTCCCCAGCTCGGCGGTTGGGAGACACCTACCGACGCCAGGTTCGAAGTGAGGGACCTCATTTCTCTTGATCAGCTTATCGCTTGGTCTTCCATTCGGACCCCGGGCGCGCAAACGATGCACGGCGCAAGTCGGTGTGTTGGTATACGCAACACGTGGTCCAACCATCGGTGCCTGATGCGTGCTCTAATGCTGCTAAGCGGTCTCTCACTCTTCCTGCACAAAATACACGATGCCGAACAGACTCATTGCTTACGCGGTTTTCCAACCAGACATGAGCTATGCTGCGAAAGCGGCGATGGTCGAAGTTAACAAGCCTCTTTAAGTCTGTGGACTTGGTGGGCCAGGTTTCACAGCCGTACAGGATAACGACGTTACGACTTTGTGATCACTTTTATAGTGTAGCGTTCTCTCCAGCATGTATCTACCCCCTCAGCGACTTCCCATCTTTATCCGCAATCGTTTTGCTCTTCCTTACTTTGTGATCCTTTACATGGTGTCTTTACGGAAAGTCTTTACGTATGCGATGTTTCTCTCTCTTCATATCTTTCTCTTACCGATAATGTAGCCATTTCACATCGGAATTGGTCTCAACGAGGGAAATTTCTATGAGTTACTTCAACAAAAATCGTCGCGTGTGATTGGTCTCTGCGGTTTAAACACAAACGATCACTATGGGATCCAAAGCGAATTCTCAACACAGGGGTCTAAGAACGACAACGTTCGTTAACAATCAATCCACCCTTCTTTTCGGTCTCACTTCCACTTCTTCACACCTCAAGTGTGCAAGAAGGAATGAAACTGACGGTGTGTGCAGGGTTAAGCGAATTCGGAACCCTGAATGCATCTCCTTCAACCACTAATTCAGAGATAGAGCTGGCCAATATGTGCTTTCTAGTACCCTAAGATGCAATTTTACATTGTGTGTCAAAACGTATACGTTTAAATAAATAAATAAATTTGTGTATTTACCGACAGACGGTATACGGCCCCATAAGCTCCAAAAAGCCAGAAGTCGTTGGTGTTTCCTTTCTATTGACTTTTTCATCCAAAGTAATGATTCCGTCATCGGTTTATAATCTTTTTCGTTCTTGTCAGCCCCAGCTCAACACTGCTTCTCCCCCGATCTACATGCTGTTGCGGTACGCTCAACAATTACCCACTCAAACTGGCGTTTTGGAAATTCACGGTGAAATGTCCATGTGTAAGTAATTCCCATATGTTTTCTTTTGACAGTCGCTTTTGCTTTTAAAACTTCATTTCTTTATACTTCTTCTCTGTTTCATCGTTTCGAGTATATTATGACAAATGCATATATCACACGAGGAATCAACTGTATATCTAACCAAGGTTAGTCATCTTCCTTCTGTAGAACTATCGGAATCCTGGTATTCCTTACTTCCTCCCTCGAGATTACACTTCTCCGTCGCTTTGACAGCATCATCACCCTCTGAGTCATTAACTAGATATAGCTCGCAAATTCCGGGCATGTGGGCTGTTGCACTTGGTTTCTGTGTCCATCCTTGCACTAATCCTTCGTGTTAATCCCGCCACTATGAGTATTTATCTCAGCTGGTAAGTGCTTCACAGTCTCAACCGATTTCTTTGCTTTTTTCCCGCAATAAGTGGTGCTGATTCAACTTTTGTTGTGGTGTTTTGGTCTACTCTCTACCTAGTGGTCGCCCAGCGAAAAAAGTGGAAGTCCCATTACGCTCAGCTGGATCGCCGGCAAGGCATATTGACACTGCGTGATGGTGAAAAGCGTAAAACCGAACGCTTCGATTTGTCAAAATGTGTTTACTATCCGGTGCATTCTCTGATGTACGAGTAAGTGAGCTGATGCTGTTCACACTTTGCACTATCCCCTTTGCTTTTTTGATTTTCATCTCTTGTCGTTCTTATGTGTCATACCTCATGCTGGTTCCAGAGGGACCCAGTTCAAATCATTGTCGTAACTTGCGCTGGCTTTTTGATATCCTGTCCTGGTCCATATCGAATGATATTAACCCCCAGTACTGTAGGGGGCATCCAAATTACCTACCTATCTAGTGTCCCGCTCTCTGTGAACTCTTTCACTATCTGCAAAGCAGTCCCTTGGTGACAGAACATCGTGTTGGCGCCCTATAAGAGGTTTCCGCCAGCATCAGTCATGCCAATTAGTGCATGCTCTGTCAACTGTTGAACTGGACTATTGCTTCATCCGGTCGAGTGCAAGAAAAGCGCACAAATTATCCGCAAGCATACTGCGGTTCGACATTCACATCCTGTTATTGCTGATTACCGCAGATATGGCTGAAAAGCACGCGCCCCCGGTTACGTTCGATGCCACGGACTGGTTATCAGATAGACTGATGTTTCACACTTACTTACCACCACTCAGCGGCAATCGCCTTCAGTCTCGAGGAGTAGGCGGCACTTTCAGTTTAGTGTGCTATCTCCTTGGGTCCGTTGGTAAATGCAATCCGACGGTGGAAACACAACCCAGACAGCATTTACCGGTTCCAAGATAATACGCATAGCTTGCTGTCGTCGCTGGTGGCATATCCGTTGTGCATTTGGAGACCATTCTACGGATCATAACGCCTCGCCTTCGCTTTTGTTCACACTTATGGCACCTTGACATGCCACATCACTTGGGGTTTTCGCTCACCAAAGGCCTCACTATACACTGCGCACCACTTCTGTTGTGTATGGTTGAAAAACCTCAGGACCCCCATTTTATGAGAACCGGAAATACGTTTTTTCCTTTTTTCTTTTGATCTCCCTGAATTCTTTAAGGTTTTCTGGATTGTTTTGCTTGATCAATGCCAGTTAGCTTGGTCGGTCAGCTCTATGCATAATCGACGAAGCGCCTCCATTTTCTTGGAAATCACATGAAACTGGGCAGTTTAAGGCACTCTAAAATCAGCTGCTACTACAGCATTTTTTATGACTCGCCTAGCTGTTACTCAGTTGCGTTTATTCACACCATGTTCCAATTAATTTGAAGGGCTGTCTCAATCCGCAACGAATTCACATTGATAGTCAGCACAGAGATAACGGGTCTCTTTAAATCTGGTCTGTTGTTTCTCTTGTTGTGAGTTACTACCCTGGGCTTCTCCTGATTGGTTGAACATCGCTCAATACGAATTGATCGATTGCTATATCACACTTAGCTTGTAAATCAGGACGGTCCAAAGCTGACCTCCGTGGCCCAGTGGCATAAGCTGCTGACTGGCGGTGCAAACCGCTGGTGGTCATGCGTTCTAATCCTGATGGATGCGCACTACTGATGATGCCCAACAGGCTGAAACTGCAATCTAATGCTTTTCCGGGCATGTGGACGACTATCTGTTTTGAAACTGGCTGCGACGAACCCTCGATTGTTTTAAGTTGATTCTCGGCTCGGTCTGAGTGCTTGTACGTTCTGCGTTCACCTACAAGATACTTCTGCGTTCTTCTGGTACAACATTTGGCGTCTGCAGCCCAAAGATGAACCTTTCCATGCAGCTCCCACCTCCATTCTGGACTGATTGCGTTAGCAGACCAACATCGGATGCCTGGCTCTATTGGAAAACATCCTTCGGAACTACTTGGATTTAATCAGCACTTTCCATTCTGCTCTTAGGGAGGAAAACAGCTTTAAGTTGTTTCGGCGTTTCTCGAGGATGTAGGGCGGCGACAGTTAGATTATTTGGGCCTTCACGGATGCAAATCCGTTTGAAACGCTTTCATTGTTCTCAATCGTGCTTGAGATTACCGAATGAATGTGTTTACTGCAAGATACGTTTCCTATCGGATGCATTAGGAAAAAGGTGGACACTTGAGGGATTTCACTGTCTAGTTGACGCATGCAGTACGGCTGTGTGATTATTCGTCCATTCCCCAGAAAAAGACCAAAGGCTGTATGCTCATTCAGCAACGGATTGCTGGGATCGCTCACAATCGTGTACGTATATCGTTATTGCAGGTTAAGGCATGCAAACAAACGTGGCATCGAGTTTGTGAGTTAGCCAGAATGAAAACCGAAATTTATCTACAATCGGAACAATTCTGTTCGACCAACAGCTGAGGTGGCGAAAGTGCAATCTTTCCGACAATTACCAGCAAACATGCCATCTGGACTGGAAGCCCGTCCATTAGTGCGACATCTGCTTTGCCTGCTAAACTAACTGCAGTCGTTTCTACGTCGCCAGAAAGACCTAGGTGGTATATAGCTTCCTGGTTCGAACAAAGTGCTCGGATCTCGCAATCTAGTTTCAGAAATACAGCTATATCAATAACGAGGAAGTCTAGTTTGTGTGCTAAAACGACTCATTGCTCAATCTGCATAAGAGTTCGTAACTTGAACGTTACCAACCGAATCGAGAATTGGGGTCAAAGGATTTCCTCAGGCTGGACTTTGTTGGCGACGTCGAAACCGATGTGGAGCTTAAATTGTGGGTAACACGGATTAATAACCGATAAATTGTTGGGGTGTGATGGGGATTTGTGAGAGACGACGGAGAGAGGAAAGAGAGCGTGCGAAAAAGTAGTAGTGTAATCCATGGTTTTTGTGTGCGGTACTCCCATCGATTCCACCAGCTGCGTGTATCTTAAATTTCTGTCATTGGCCTCAGTCTTTTCCTATTCCCTTTAAACTTATACATCTTAGAGTTATATTTTGAGCTATATACAGTTTCAACTGCTAGAGTTTTGTTAGTTCCTTACCTGAAACCCTAAAAATGCACTTTTTGTAAAAGTTACTGAATGAATGTAGCCTTCGATTTTGTTTCAGCTTTCCTATTTTTAATCCAAACATGTTTAAATCACCATCATCATCACACTTTAACCGAAAGTGAGAAACACACTATAGCAATTGTACCGCAAAACACAAGAAAAAATTTGAAAATGCGGGATACAAAGCAATACAAAATAAAATACAGCAACCAAAATGGAATGTGATGCTTAGTATCATATTACACATCGGGGTTGGGAGATCGTGGTTGGAGGGGGAACTTGAGGGTAAACGGAAAGACAGAAATTCACAAGACAAACTCCATTAATGTGCGCTCTTCGCCATGTCAACATTGTGTATCCAACCGGACGGCAGTCGGGAAACACCAACCGACGCCAAATTCGAAGTGAGGGTCTACATTTCCCTTGACCAAGTCATCACTTTTCCTCCATCCAGACGCCGGTCGCTCAAATAACACACGAAGCAAGAGTCGGTGTGCTTGTATGCGCAACACGTGGCCCAGCCATCAGAGCCCGGTGCGTGATATGACGGCGCTTAGCGGTACACGCTCTTCTTGCATCGAGTACGAGACGCCGACCGCGCTCATTGCCCATGCGGTGTTCCCACCAGACATGAGCTAAGCTGAGGAAGCGACGGTCAAACGTAACAAGCCTCTGTGTCTGTGGACTTGAAAAATCAGGTTTCGCAATCATACTGGAGGGTTGAACGCACGGCTACATTGTAAACTCTGTCCTTCAGGGCAAGTGTAATGTGCGCCATCGCCACAAGTGTCAGAGATCGAATAAAGCGCCTCGAGCTTTTGCTCGACGGTTGTTGATCTCATCTTCGATCCCTGGGAGGGGGCTAATATAGCTGCCGTGATACTTGAACTTCTGGACGACTGCTAGTTGATCATCACCGATGGCCAGCGAAGTTACATGTGTCAATCTTGGAGAAGAACTTTGCATTTCGAGCGTGCATAGCATAGCCCGAAACGAGGGACAGCTAGAGCAGACTTATCCAGTGCAGCTTGGCACGTTTGGTATCTATCATTCTTGAGGGCAATGTCGTCGGCATAGTCCAAGTCGAACGGTCGATCACCTGGGAACAGCTCCACACATTGTGTTCCGTGCCTATTGAACGTAATTTCCAGGACTTCGTCAATGACGACGTTGTAGTGGAAAGGTGACTGCGGGCAGCCTTGTCTCACCTCGTTGGAGATATTGAATGAGGTCACAATTTGCCATAAACCCCAACTCTGCCAGAACTATGCGCGTATAGCGCTCCTATGCTATTTACATATTTCTCGGACACACCTTTCCAAAGGGCACAGCCATCAGCCGAATCGAAGAAACCTATGATGTCTAGAAACGCGACTACTGTGGGTCGCCAATAAATATGACAGTGCTGCAGCAATTGACGCAACTTGAAGAGGTGCTCAATGCATTCTTGCTTTCGACGAAACCCGGATTGCTCCTCATGAATTTGGATTTCACATGTGTCTATGGCGATCGCCAGAAGGAAGTAATCTAGAAACAGTTGTGATCAGGCTGATCCCTCTATGATTGCGACTTTCCGAACGTGAGCTTACCTTTAAATTTGGGATCTACCGCAGTCTAATAGACTAATAAGTTGTGTACATCATCCAAAGAGCTTGTCCTCTGAATTTGATGACGGATAGAGCACAGCTATCTGTTCCCTATTTCGTTTTCAAAGTCTGATCTTACTTTCCGCCGTGACTGTGAATCCAAATGGATATCCAAGGGGGCATGGCGGTCAATAGCCGTTCAGGAAAATGACAATTCTGATTAATTAAATTGATTTTCAGTGTTCGGCCCATCACTCTAAGCTTTTTGACATGCTCTAGTTTGGTTGTCCAATAACATCGCATATAGTCCCGCGAAAAAACCAGGCCCCCTACTGCCCGTCTCCCTTGTCAGACGGAATAACAAGCTGCGGCTTTTTCCATCTCCGATGCACAACGAAACCACAAGATATTGTAGTCTCTTTTCTGTCTACCAGGCAGTCTTTCTCAGAGATCTTTGCGAATCTCCTTGGGTTTGCTCCCAGCCATAATTTGTCGGCGATATCGAGAAGTTCCAGAGACTGCCTAGATATCCAGTATCCACGTTGGCAATTTGATTTACAATGTGAAAACATGCCTGTCCATAGTAACGTCTAGCGAATGTGCGGTCAGTGATGTTTACTTGTATTCATTGAGCTTTTACTCGATATGTTTGCCAGCGTACTTTGATACGTATTCATAACATCTGGTTTAACCAGCTGACGGGTATCAATGCGTTCATAGCGTCCTTGCGTACGTATGCCGAAACGAATGCGCAAGCCGGCACATACAAGTACCGTGTTGGAGACCACCTTTGTGCTCCAAATCGAACGGGAGTTTTCGACACAATCCCTCCGACGGCAACTGATCGCGATGTGATCGATTTGCGTCCACGGCTGGTTGGCTCTATGTCACTTTTCTGGGGTGCTGTACGATCTCACGCTAACGTGTATAATGATGATGATGGGTACTGTGTCGGAATTTACTTCTCGTGTTTGATGAATCGCTCACTGTTATCATTACGAGATTCTACAGCGTGTTGACTGCCCAGAAGCAACTCATCAGGGGACAGTTTCACAAATTGGGCGTTCTGATTTACAGCATGTGGTCTAGTACGCGTGCTTTTTCTGTGATGAATGAGCGCGTTCATTTGGTGATAGAAGTCATCTTTCACCGAGTCAGTCTTACAGTTTGTAGGGGCATAAGGAAGTGCTGCCTGTTTCACATGTGGGGCGGGGTCGCAAAGTAGGCACAGAGCTCGAGTCTTGTACATGGGCTTCCGATAGGCAGCAGATATCAATCAATATCGTCTCTAGTGTTTGTACAGTTGCTACTTGTCGACTAATCTGCAGCAAATTCGCATGTTGACGCATGCCAGTTTTAACGAGGATCGAGGGCTCTAAAGAGAAGCAGATGAACTGACGTTGTCCGCTTGGTTGGACATGGACTTGTTGACTGGGCATGTTTAAAGCGCTTCCTTTCACTCAGTACATCTGTTCTGTTATGAACTTTATTTGTCCCTAACATTGAACAATTTTCTCATTCGAGCCCACCAAGCTTCCTGCGCTCCATCATTGTATTCACCCATGGACTATGCTGCTTAGCTTTGTTTTACGTTTGGCACTTTTTCATGCGCACTACCTTTACTGGGGCTCACCATGTTCAAGCTTTTGTTATAGGTCTCCATGTTTCCTAGTTCCATATGCTTTATCAGGCTTTCTGTCAACATCTCTGTTCTTTCATTTCATATAGCCGAGCCTACTGCTTCGGGCTGATCCTCTATGGGGCTTCGTTGGGCGATAAAGAGGACATCGTTTTCTCTGTAGATGCCCCACTGTTGCAGTTGTGCCCCAGTTGTTTCAGTTCGTCAGTTCCAAGCGTTGCAAACAACAGCGTTTCCTCTCGTTCTGCCCCCGCTTTCGGCCTAACTGAACTTGACCCTTCTACTTACGCAGGACGACCTGAAGAAGTTCTTTCCTCCGTCTTGCTGCCTACCTTTTTAGAGTCTGGTGAGTCGCTTTACTTTCGAACAGATTGTGTGCGCACATGTGTTGATTTACCTTCCGGGCACAGTGCAACAGGCAGCTTCAGTCCAACTTTCCTCATGAAGTTTTGCTTCGTCCTGATATTTACCCGCACGTCACTAACCATCTTGTTTAATATTTATGCGTCACATCACTTCGCTTTAAAACTTAGCCTTCCATAATCGATTGTATATTTACTTAGCGTCATCTGATGTACGGGGCAACACAGTTGTCAACGTTTCATTAGTCTACTATTGCTTTGTTCTAATTTGCTTTCTGGCCAATAACGCGAATTCGTTAGTTGCTTCGCATTTCCAATCTATTTACTCTCTCTCCTTCTTAGGACGTCTTTCTTCCTCGTTTTCTGAGTTTTACTATTGCTGGAATCTCGACTAATTCTCATTTATTGTACTAAGCCTCCGTCATCTCATCACTTGGTCTTTATGCATTTATGTAATTCTTGTGACCTCTTTCGAGAACTTCCGCAACTTTAGACTGGCTATCTGACTGCCACGCCGTGTTTAATGCTGTAGTGACCTGGAGATTCCCCCGCTTGATGTGTAAATCAATCGCAAATACTATGAAATCACAGTTTTCCCATGTATTAGTGAAGTAAGTGGTTTGCATGTTTGTATGGTGCACATGTTTGTATGAGACACATTTCTGGTCAACAGAATGTTGTCGCTGATGCTCTGTCAAGAGTGTATGCAATAATTGGTGACACCCGACTTGTAATCGGTGACGCACTTACAATTGGTGAGTCTTCTACTAATTTTTCTCTTCAGATTCCAACGCATTTTTCGTCTGCTTTTCTAATTTTGTGTACTTTTAATTTTGGGTTTCCATTCTGCTGGTTCAGTAATTTTCGCCATGGAAGTTATAAATCAAGATTCGGACGCTCAGGTTAGTACCGTTAGTCTCCCTATACCTCCTTTTCGTGAGACTAATCCTAAGGCCTGATTCTCGCAGATAGAATCGCAATTCCTCTTACGTCGTATTAAGTCTGATTACATTAAGTTCCACCACGTCGTAGACGCGCTCCCTCCGCATCTTATCGACGACCTGGATGACATTCTAGATCCGCTCGAGGACCAACAAACTGAAAAGCACAGGCTTGTCCGACCGACAAAGGGTAACAAAACTCTTAAGTGAAACGCAACTCGGTGATCTTAAGCCGTCTCAGTTGTTAAGAAAAATGCAGAGCCTAGCAAAACCCACCTCTGTAGATGACAGTTTTCTCCGGGTGATGCGCTTACACCGAATACCCCGTGAAATGTGTCACGTTGAGGTCACTGATTATAGCGCGTTGGTCTAACGCTATATCCGATACTCAGATTTGATTGGCCAACCAAAGGCGTGCGGCAGAACACACTGAAATAAGCTAGAAAAATGTTTATTAGAAGGTTGCTAAATCTTAACTAAAAATAAGGCACTGGAAGATGACTAGCTAGGGAGTATGTGGTAGGGTGCTGAGTGCGATCGGAGAACCGACGTTCCTTTCGAAGCCCGCGGACAAAGTCCGGATGTTGTCGGTGTGTCTCATACAAACACGTGCACCATACAAACATGCAAACCACTTACTTCCCTAATACATGAGAAAACTATGATTTCATAGTATTTAGGATTGATTTGCGCATCATGCGGTGGAATCTCCAGGTCACTGCAATGTCTCTTTTGCATTTTGTTAGGATCCAGACTTATCCGACAATTTTTTCTAAGAGCCAACGTTTTGGTTACCCTGTTATTTTGCAATCAGACTGTCTGGTAACTTTAATGAGTTACAGTCCTCCTGAATTTATTCGTGACGATATACACCAATCATTGAGAATAATTTGCAAAACTTGGAGCCCGGGTTAGTTGTTGGTAAACCAACCAACATCTATACACCAGTCATGCTTCTTACTGTGCCGTTACTGCATGTTTTGGGGATATTTCACAAATTCGTCATTGTCGCTGTCTGCACGCCGCTTTGGTCAGCTCATTGATCACTTACGACACCGGTGTGGATTTCCTATTGTTCCTCCTTTCACGTTTGATTCACCGACTATCAATTGGTCTTTTTTGTTCTTTTAGGTCGCACCCACTCTGTTGGTGATCTATCCGTACAGTTCGCTAGTAACGCTGGTTCGAACGATCCCTCCTCTCCTACATGCTCCTGTTCTCACGTTAGAGCAGTCAGTCAGGAGGTTGTATATGACAGATGGCTGCGTTGTATACGACTTCATTGTCGCAACACACGCGTTGACGCTTGCAACGAGGAGGACTGTGATCGTCGACAAACGGTTTTACGCTGCCATCGAACTTTGGAAGTGAAGGTATGAGGAAGAATTCTCACTGCAAAGTACACATTGGTCTTCGTTGGTCTACTTGCTTTCATATTATATCGATACACGACCGGCAGTGAATCGTTTCACAGTAATCTCAACCCCCCTTTTACCGTGTTTTTGGGAGTTGGTGACATTGTCGCTCTCGGCGCACCCAGCGCGGTTTATGCGATCGTCGTCGGACGATAAGAAGGACTTTACAGGGCCAGTGATCAAATTAAGATCATCTGGTTGGCGCTACGCACATGGGAATTTAGCTTGTACGCAAACGTTTAACCTACTGCCTTTCCGTCAGTTGAAATTTTTTTACGAAGTACTTTTTCTTAACTAAGTTTCCGATCGCTTTCTCTCTTTCCTACTGCCTCGTAAATCAGCAAACAATGATGAAATCCTTTTCCTGTCTTCATTGAAGTTTTAGCAATGAACATTATAATACTGCCTAGTCGGTTACCAATCCAGAACACGGTCATTCATTATTTCTTCCGAACATTTTCCTTTCAGGCTTGGTTTTTCTTTAATTACAATAATTGGCAGGCTCGTCTGCCATTGCCCTCAAAGTACGCACTGTCTGTCCCTTTGGGATGAAAGTGCTACGCGCCTCCAATCTGCCATCATGTATGCTTTGTCTTCTGTGAGCAATGGCGTTGCGACGCGGTTGTAACTATTGAGTTTGCCTACATCTCGCCGCTGCACACTCTTCGCGTGCAAGGTTTTATCGCACTCGGGTTTGCACCAATCACTTTCCATCTGTGTTGCTGCTAGTAGCATACTCGTCATGCTTGACTGTGCCCTTTTCGGTCACAAACACTGTCTGCAGCCCTTCAGTGTTATTTTTGTCACCGTGTTTGTTGTTCTGCTTCAAACCAGCAGTGCATGTGGCACATCACCGGTATCTGATACACCAGACTAATCGGTGAGACTGGTGTTCGCAAGTAGCTGTCCGGCCGCGTTTCTCCGCTTGATCTACCCACATAATTGAATCGCGACGGAACCTGGCCTTTGTGTAGTGTGTTGGTATGGTTGGCGGCATCCGGTTTCGGATTTGCCTGTCACTGTGGCCAGCCACAGGACGCCTGCGCCTACAGAGGGACCATGGGTGACTTGCGCTGCACCACCCACAGCTCCATCCACACACCCCATATTCAGTGTAAACCCGAAGGAATAAGACCGGAAGGCATGCGGATGGGAGCCGCGCTTCATCAACGGAGCTGGCCCACACTCCTTCACAGGCAAACACAGGCACACTGTATTTAGGGAATCAATCGCACACAGGCGGTGGCTGGACCGTAGTCCGCTCCACACTGAGTGCATGGAGCCACTCTTAGAGCCTAGCACGGCCACAAGGACCGTGCACCCCGTCCCCTCCAGCAACGACCAACTGTCTCCTGGAGCCAGTATGAACGAGGTGGTGGGTGGTAGACAGGTAGGCACCTTGTCAACATGCACATCAAGCGCAGCCACACCGGGGATATCAAGCAACAGCCAATCACTTGAAACGACAAGCTGACATAAAATAAATCCAATAATGCATACAGATACGGTGGCATAGCTCTTCGCTAAATTACCATATGAAGTAATTTGGTTAGCAACAAATCCGCGATAAGTAAGAAATATTCACAACTTACTTAAAAATGCTACAAACGCAACAAAATTACCGAAGATAAGCGCAATTAGCGTAAGCAACGTGGCCAGTTAATAGAAGATTATTCAGGTAGGCAGGACAAACCAAATAAAGTGGAATGAAATATATCCAGCTTAAAAAGACCTAGTTTAAGTGTAAGTTGGTTTAGCCCAACTGCGGTGAAGAAGCATCAAGAATGCAACATCAGCCTCAGCATGGGGCCTGGTGTGTGTTGGTATAGTATCCTTCGTACTCCATTGGTTTGTGTTAGTACTCCCCTTCCACACACCTTTACGGCACCTCACAACAGTCAGGTCCATTAGTTTGAGGCAGACAAAATCTGTCTTTATATCCTCTTCATAAGAGGCTGCGGAAGGGTAGGCAATCCAGCAAAACAGTAATTTCCGGGTTAATGGGCTCAGCACATTTGACGTGGAAACTGACACCTGCGTGAAAGCTTGTTTCCTGCTTATTGGCTTTCTACCACATCCTCGAATCGATCAGCATCGGACACGCATAGAATCATACCTTATCATGGTCGCAAGCGCATGCTATCCAGCACCGCTCGGTTGAAGCACTGGCACATTCTCGTTTGTCCCTTGGTACTGGTTTTACCGTGCACGAACTTATCACAATCCATTTCTCTTCCCACATTTTGTCGACTCTTCCCTCCTTTGTTTACAGTGAATACTCGTCTCTGACACTCGAAGCATTCTTAGTAACACGCTAGCACTGCCGTGCCGATACATTACCGCCACGCCGCTACCATCAGTCGCTTGTGGACCAATGGCACTGAAAAGTTGCCAGCTCCTACGCACACTCGAGCCGGTGGCTACCTTAACCCCTCGGTCAAGGGCCGGACAAACTTACGGTCGCCGAGCTAGTTCACTTGTAGCGCGTATAGTACTTGTAGCCTTTATTCGAGTCTGCACGACAGGTTTCTTTTCACCATTCTCCGTCTTTTTCCAACCCTCCTGCACAGCTAGAGAACGTTTTACTCCTGTATAGTGTGTTGTTATTTAACGGCGTTTTGGGACCCTGCCAAAACATGTAATCAGAGTCCACAAGCCTGATATTTTTACGCCTCCAAAAACTTTTTTCATCGGCATAGTCCTCCGCGAATGTGTGATGCATGTTCTCGGCCATTTGGCTACCCTGTAATCATGTTTTCGGCGAGACTGAACTTGGTCGCTGCTGATCGCCGGTTGCTCTACTGCTAGTCGTTAAACCAACCTGTGCTATGCTTTGCTCGAAACACATGGTCACTGGACCTATGAACTAAAAACCGTAATAATAATAGTAATTTATGCTTAAGATAAACCGCCGCACGCTCCGTCATGTCTGTTTTGAACAAAGAGAATGTTGGTAACATGCTCACTCGCCCGACACCGCATCTCTACCACCTGCCTCGTAAATGCTGGTCGGATTTGCTGAATTCATAAATGCAGAAGCACTTGATTGTTTGCGTCTTAGAGTGCCCACTCTGTGTCTGGATTACGACATGCAATCTGGATTGAAGCTCCAGTTTGCTTTAAAGCAAACTTCACCTATTGAGCTTATTAGGGCCCATCCGAATCGTAGAGTTTTGGAGCTGCTCCATCCCAACACTGCACTCTATGACCGTCCGGTTTCGTCCTCATTTGAACTCTTCAGGTGCATATGACCTGAGCCGAGAAGGGAACCCGACACACGTTCGTTGACGACTTACGCTTCAGCCACTAGGCCATAGCCCTGCGATCGGCGTTTGACACGGGGGTTACAAGTTCCTTGTTGGCTCTCGACCGCTTGACTTAAGCTGTGATTCTATAATGTAACTTGATACGTCCACGCCATCATATTGTTTTCCATTACTATGCAGACTTTTTCGATTGCACATAGATAATGAACCAGCAGACACTTACCAGCAAGTAACGAAATCTTATAGAGGCTCCATGTAACATCGCACACCACGGTCTTCACCTTGTCTAGAAAACTCTATCAAGACTCGACAGCTCGTGAGTGATGGGTATCCATCGACCATACTGGATTAGAAACATTTTCCGATTTTAGTCAGCAGTTCATTTCATTTTAGTTGAAAACTTTGTTCTGGGTACCGAAATGCCGTGGATTCATCTACCAGAAAACAGGCTTGAATGTGAATAGGATACAAAGAAAATGGAATCAATAACTGCGTTAAACTAATCTGAATTGAATGAAAATTAATAACTAGATGCAAAAATCCGAAAGCAGGAACGCTAATGACTGCACGTTGTTTGATTGGGTCTCTGACAACTAATGCGGACCATCCAGATGCACCCAGCCACGAAGACGACATGCACCAGTCTAAACAAGCCTCTCAGTCAGTTTCTTCAGTTCCTTATGCTACATCATGGATTGGCTACCTCCCGGTTTCACCAAACTTGGTGCAGCCACGGCGTATGATGAACGCTGAGGAAGCCGATTAACTGGTATACGGAGGACTTGATCTAGCCAATATAAACAATAAGGCTTTATAACAAACACTCGAGCGAGGCACCAGAACACTTATTGTCAAAAAACAACAACTGGGGAACCTCAACATTGCTCACCCGGTGTTCCCAGCACGTGTGAGCAATACTCCACAAACACCGGTGGTCAAACAGGGCCAAGAGTTTAATGTCTTCACTGCGAACTGGCCAGTGACGCCGGTCTTATCGCAGTGTTATGCACCCTACCTTTCACTGATAGGCTGATATCCCACCTTATCCATAGATGGTTGAGCCTCTGGAAAACCACATGGGCCTTGCTGATACCCGAAGTAACCTCAGCGATGTGACCACCGAAGAAGACACAGCTACCAAGGTAATTAAACCGATCCACCATTTACAGTGACTGCTCCCTGATGGCAAAACTCGGTGGTGTGTCCGTCCATTCCTGCATCAGTACTTTGCACTTTGAAAGTGTAAAGCACATACCGAAGCTTGCAGCACTGCGCGCCCGTTTATTCAGTAATGTTTGCATAATCACTACTTCAGACCCAAGGAGAGCTATGTCGTCCGCATACTCAAGGTTTACTAATGGGCCTGATAGAACCAGCCATCTATTATTACGTCGATCACAAAATTGACAAAGAAATAATATATAGGACAACCCTAACGAATTTTACTTTCGGAGGGAATTCAGACTACATTTTCCCGTAGGCCCTTACACGGCCTCGTAGACCACTGGCATCAGAATGTAAACGAGTTTAGCTGGCAAGCTCTGCAGGGATAGGCGGTGCCACAATCTGGTGCGGTCAACAGAGTCGAAGGCGGCTTTCAAGTCAAGGAAAACCACCATTGTCGATCATCTGCACGTGTGTGTCTGCTCTAAAACTTGAAGAATAGTAACTATGTGCTTGATGCAACAACGA